GGCATGCATGCGGCCCGGGTTCGATCCTCAGCACCACATACCAACAAAGATGTTGTGTCCGCCGAGAACTAAAAAATAAATATTAAAAAATTCTCTCTCCTAAAAAAAAAAAATATATATATATATATAAATAAATAAATAAAGTTTATCCAGAGCTAAGTTCAAAATATAAATTTTGGTTATATTTCCATTTTGGGTAATTCTATTAAAGTCAAAATTATGTCATTCAATTAATGAAGGCTAATTTCTATTTAACATGGTCTCTTTCCAATTTATTAATATTAAACTTAACATGACTAGTAGATGACCTTTGTGAAGTTTTATGATCAGCTTGAGATAATAAATCCTTTCTTACTATTTAAATACTTGTACTATTGTCTGTCACTTAAAACTAGTGATATTATGGCTTATGCCAGCCTTTATTCAATTTTATTAAATATAGAAAAGGGGGGGGAAGGACCTTGTATGCACATACTAGATCTTACAAATAATTCAAATTTTTTCTTAAATTGTGATATTAACAGTCTTGTGTTATTGAACATGATTCAGTAAATTAACTGAATTTCAAAATAGTTTAAACCTGTCATTGCGATATGACTAAACAACTTGACCCAGGAAGGTAAATTTTTATCTGCAGAGTTTACAGCCATGCAGCTTCATGAGCTTATCAGGTAAGTAATGATTATAAAGAGACCCCTGTGGGCCCTCCTCTCATTCCCACTCTTAATATGCCTTGCAGTGTGCACTGTAAGTTCAACCCATGAAACCAGATTGATCGTACGACTGTAATGGTCAATTATACCTATATGTTGATCCTATGGTAAACAGGCTGTCTGGGAGTATCTTTTTTATTTTTATTTTTATTTTTTTTAAAGAGAGAGAGAGAGAGAGAGAATTTTATTTATTTATTAGTTTTTTCGGTGAACACAACATCTTTGTTTTTGTATGTGGTGCTGAGGATCGAACCCGGGCTGCACGCATGTCAGGAGAGCGCGCTACCGCTTGAGCCACATCCCCAGCCCCATGGGAGTATCTTTTGAGAAAAAAAAAATAGCATATGAGAAACATAAATCAGTCAATCATGCTGGCCCTTGGATAATAAGATTATATATCTGGATAATTGTCAAAATAGAAAAATTGTTGAAATACAATTTTTCTATACAGGCCAGTTATTTACATAAAATGTCCACCAATGTATTATTGTCCTAATTATTCTACAGAAGAAATTGACACCTTTCAGAAGTGGATGGATTGTGCAAATATCTTAGCAGTATGACATAAAGTGTCTAGAAATAGTGGGTATATTTTAGACTGGTCTTCTAGGATTGACAGAAAAGCAATTATGCTGCCATGACCCCTGGAGGATTTGTTAGTAACATCTTG